AAGAAGAAGAAGAAGAAGAAGAAGAAAAAAAGACGGCTATGTGAAAGGTACAGTAGCTGTTTTGTGGCCCTCTATAAAAGTTATACGATGGGTCCTGGACCGTTACGTTGTACCTAGCGAGTAACCAACTATTTGGAAGATTTTACCAAGTCACCAGTGATTTGTGAGTCCTCGCTCGTTTAACCTGACTTTAGTTTCTTCTGGCTTTTTTTTCTTTTTTTACAGAAACGAAATTTCGGTTTTCGAAATTGATCATCTCTTTATCTGGAAACGTGTCTGAAAACTTGAAGGTACACTCGTTACAGTTTCTATTTAATAGATATAGGAGTTTTTCAATTCCTACGTGAAAAAGACAAAAGAACTATAAACTTGTTTGTTTTCTCCGTAGAAAGAAAGAAAAATCTCGATAGATTGTAATACGAAACTGCATCTGATCTGACATCTGAACTTGGTTGAATTCGAACGAGTCTGAAAAAAAAAAAGAAAAAATAAAGATAAGAACAGCGTTTATAAAGAGGAGAAAAATTTTTTCCTCTGAAAATTTACTCGCAATAAATTAACGTCGAAGTGCATAGATAAGAAGATAATCGCGATTCCTAGAAGAAGAGATATGGAGAGAGGGAGACTTGGACACGTTCATTGCTAATCTCGACCTCCAACTATGCGGAAACAAAATAGCAACTCGTTTGCCGTCAATCATTTTGTTTTAGTTCTTAATTCACTTCCGAGAGGGGAGATGGCTTTAGCTTTTTTTGAATTTGATTTCAGAATTGATTTTTACATATTTTCTTGTAAGATAATCAACATAAATATATCTATAGATATTTACAGATTACAAGAATACAAGGGACACAACTTTTGTACAAAATAATTTAGTTAGCCATCCCTTACTGGTAAGAACTACCAGTTTCTATTCTACGCTTAAATTCTGCGAATTTTCTTTTAGCAGATTCGCTTGAAATTAAATTTTTTTCATCATACGTACATGTGTCGCACACGACACACGTGTATATTGTTTCATCAATTTCTACTTCCTTATTGTATAATATCAGCACGAATGTCTCAGCCTTATGACCTCATGGTTCAAAACTGAAGAAGACTGGTATGTATATATAGTCAATTGCCTGCTCAGTGATATTCGTACCGTGACATAGTGTGGATGTAATGTCGTTCGTCAAGTTGATAAGATAACGAGCGTAAAAGTGTTGGCAAGTAGCATATAAAAGTTAGTGGTATTATTTGATCAACGTTCAGAAATCGCATTTCCCTCGAAATGTCAAGATCAAGGTACGTAAGCTGTATTCTTCTCTCTTTCCCGTTTAAACAAAAACAGCAGCAATAATTAGCAGCAGTGGGAATTGTCGATCAATGTTAAATATTTATTACCATGTCAACGTTGTAATAAAAGTTCCCTTTCATTTTTCAACCCGAGTAGCAATTTTGGTCGAATAACTGTACAGTATCTTTGCATAGAAGTGCAATCACTTTTACACGTGATATCGAGTATTCCTTTGAAAATAATTATCTGATACGAATATCAGGGGAGGGCAGGTACAATGTTACAACATTCTACAACGTACGTACATGAGTATAAATACAGCGAGAGCTGTATCGATAGATTTCAAATAGTTTAACGTTAGATCGGAACGAGTCGTTGGAAAGGGAAAGTAAAACCGAGTACACGACTCACTGGTCGTGAAAAAATGCCGCGTGTACGTTTCGCGATTCGCAGCTGACAAACTGTTTCAGAATGGAGGTGAATCACTTGACAATCGACGAATGTGTGCTCGAGAAAGCGCTGCGAAGGAAATTCTCGAACGAAACGGTGAAAATCTTGCATGCCGAGTATTACTCTTTGTCGGAGAAGGGGCTGAACTTTCTCAGCGATCTGTACGAGATACACATCAGATATACAGATATTTCTTCGAACAACGAGAAAACGAAGGAGTCAAAGTCGGTCAACGTGGTTGTTAAAGTTGAACCTCTGAACGAACTGTTGCACAGCATCGTCTCCCAGCAAGACTTGTTCGTCACTGAGCTGAAAGTTTTACGCGACGTTCTACCCAGGATAAAGAGATTTGTTTCGCAGCAACTGGGCCCGGATTTGTTGTACGGTTGCAACGATTCTCGAATTCTCATAATGGAGAACTTGATCGAGAGAGGATTCGCTATGAAGGACCGCCAGAAGGGATTGTCGCTTGAACATTGCCGTTTAGTTTTGCAACAACTCGCGAGATTGCACGCTGGATCTGTCGCAGTTTTTGAACAGGTTTCTTTCTTTGACTTTTTTCACAAAATATAAGCAAAACGACATACTCGCTTACTTGATCATTTGTCAGAATGAAGATTGAAAAACCAAATTGGCTCAAGAGATATTTAATTTTATAAAGTTTAAACGCATATCTTGATAACTTGTTTTTCGTACGATAAGAAGCTTTCCTGTAGATAACGATCAGACGAATCGATCGCTGCATATTCGAAATTGCAACCTGACTTTGAAATTTCCTTCACAAAGATTGCTATCATATCACATTGATGATATCACATTTCCTGCACCATTGATCACCATATAACGTGCCTTTTCGTAGCAGACAATTCTTGTAGAAATTTTTTCTTTTTTAACTTTTAACCTCTGTCCCTTGCGAGATAAACCGAACACCACGTGTGCATTTCATCTGTGCATGTACATGGATGAAACGTCTGTCATTGTGATGGCGATTAATCTATCGTTGTTAATGGACGTGATAGTCTTAATGAATTTTCCAATATTAATTTCGACAAATCGTTTCAGGACCCAGAAATCGTTGAATCTCTTACAGACGGTGGTATTCTATCGACCAAATGCCCGAAAACTTTTATACGAATGATGGAAGTGAGCCTGTTGCGGATTGCCGAGGAATTGAGAAGCTGGCCGGACGAGAAGTGCGCGTGCACGGCGAGCAAGCTAATGAAATTGTCGGGGACCATCGGGGCCGAATGTACCCATATCTATGATCATGACGCCGATGAATTCTGTGTACTGAATCACGGAGATTGCTGGATCAATAACATAATGTTCAGAGAAAATCAGAACGGTCAACCTGTCGAACTGTTATTGGTAATATGTTTACCTATGTAGCATTTATCCATGTATGCGTGTCATACGTATCATATGTATCAGTGTACGTACACATTAGAGCATCTGTCGTACGGAATAATAACGTGTGCAGAATATCTTCCAAATTGGCAATTGTAAATAATTTAATGCGGATTAAAGCGCCATAACGACGGGA